GATTAATTTAATAGGTATCCTGAAAACAAGTAAAAACAAAAATTGTGAACAAGAATGTTCCTTTTCTTGATTTTATTGCCAGGGTTAAAAATTATTTTAAAAATTAACACAACGTTTGTCTTTTTTGTTTAATTACTTTTAAAAATGGGTTATTTTAAAAATGCTTAATTTAATAAATGCATAGACTTATCTCAATTAAAATATTGCGTAAAAGTCTTGAAACATGGACGTATGTACATGGCAATGATTTAAGTTGACAGTGACACTTGACAGCACTTGACAGACAACGACAGTTGATGTGTCATTATGATTTGACATTTGGTAAAAATAATGAAAATTACCGAATAATATGATTTACTTTGAAACAAACATTTTTGGACCTAAAAGCGTAAAATCGTTATGTTTTTATTAAAACGGGCTGACTTCAAATTTGTATATGCTTGTACACGATTGTATAGGTAACTGAGTGATTTTTTCAATAATATTTACACTGCCAATTTCTTAAATTGTAATTTCTCTTGCTTTCAGCTATGGAAGGAGATCTCATTATGACGTTTTAAATTTGCGTAAGAATTGTACAGATAAGGAAATAAAAGATGCATATATAAAGTTGAGCAAACAAGTAAGATTTTTGATACACTAATAAAAATATAGCCTGTCATTTAACTAAACAAAAAAAAACTTTAGCCTTCTGAGATCTAGATATGCATCATATAAATTGTTATTTCCTAACAAAATATACTTTGTTTCCAGTACCATCCTGACAAGAATAAGAACACTAAAGCGCAGGAACAGTTTGTTCAGGTGCAGGAAGCTTACAATGTACTGAGCAAGCCTGGCAGCAGAGCTCAGTATGATAGTACAATTGACATAGATGTCAACAGTGGCTATGTATATAGAACACATGTACCATATAAGTGAGTATTTACTAACATAAGCTTGACCTTTTACTATGGAAAGTTGGTTGAATCTATACTTCTATACTATTATAATAAAGATATAATAATAAAGAAACATACATTTCTTTGTTGCCTAAGATCTCAGTAATTACAGCATGTTTTTGAATTTTTCATTCAAATCAATCATTCATCTTTTTAATAAAAAGCCCTACACTTACATCACGCTTTAGGCTATATATTTTCACACCATTAAACTTAGGGGGTAAATATTTTGGATAAAAACCCTAATGTGGGAAAGAGACCATAAGTTGCTACCAACATCAAGGTTGTCATCATGTCATGTCATTTTAACATTTGTAATTGATAATTTGACAAATGTAAACAATAAAATATTATTTTCATTATTTTTGCGGATGAAGTTGCATGGGAACAGCTAGTATATAATATTCTTACATATCTATCTACTGTTCTTCCTAGTTGGTACCAGGCTAGTAATTAAGTCAAGAAACAAGTAATTTAGTAACTAAATGTGTCTGAATAAAGATTATGTATTATAGTTTTTAGACTCTGATGGGAAGGGAACATATTATTTTTTGAAGTTATAGAGGTTTTTAAGTTACCGAGGTTGGTGGTTCTACTGTATAATCCTTTTTTGTTTTTACATTACAGTATACGTAGAAATCCTTACTATGGCTTCACTCAAGACACCAGCAAGGCTAGAACTGAAACAAATTCCTACTATGGAGTCAAAGGTGTCAAGAAGTTGCCAAACACAGCTATCATAGTACTATGTTTTGGTATAGCTATTTTTGGTGTGCTGTTACAGTTTATTGTCATCAGGTAAGTTTTAATTAAATAACCATACTGAGGACCTGTCCCACCATTGGTCGAAAGAGGCTCAGATAGCTTAAAAATGATGTAACTGTCCGATAAGGGAACAAAATCCGATTTTTCCATCGGATCATCCATATTTTACACTTTGGATTGTTATCAGACAATTTACAATTTGGTGGGACAAGCCCAAAATGTTTCACACACGTTTTTTAATTTTTTAATTGTGATCAAATCTGATTAAAATATAGCAATTCCTCTTTTAAGTAGGTTCTATGTGTCATTCCTTACATTATTAAGACAATTGCGAGTCTTGTAATATGGACACCTTGTGTAAAGTGTTGCCATGAGTCAGCAAAATTAGCCAAATAACATGATATATCAGTTTTAACTAGGAGTAAAAGAGATGACTAGATTTTTGAATGAAATCTATGTTTGTACTTTAAATCTAGCTACTGTTATTAAAAATAATCTTTGTATTTCCAGAAATTCGTACTTAAGTCGTCATCGACATATACAAGAAAGATCTATGATGTGTGGGGATGAACTGGAGAAAGTGCGTGCGGCCGCGCAAGGGAAATCAAATGAGGTATGAACATCTATACTTCTCTATTAATATATCTTATCTTACTTATATTATAAACTAGCTGTTCCCGTGCGGTTACACCCGCATGAAATTATAAAAAACTTTATTTTATTGTTTACATTGGTCAAATTCTCAATTGCAAATGTCAAAATTACCATTACCTTAACCTTGCTTCCTTAATGTTGGCAGCTTGTAGTTTGGTCCCTTTCCTACATGAAGTATTTTTTACAATTTATTTACCCACTAAGTTTGATGGATGGATGTGTGTTAAGAGTTTGTAGCTTAAACGACAGAACGGATCTTGCTGAAATTTGGCATAGATCTAGAGGATAGTGTCGAAGAGCACATTGGCTACTAGATTTTGATTCATTTATTTCCACGAGACCGGAGTCGCGGGCGAAAGGTAGTAAAACATAAAATACACTTTGATATGTTAGATGTCAGCAATCACTACCTATTTTTGAAAAGTTTTTTTTTTAAATAAATAGGCCTATAACACGCTATAGGCTATATATTTTTAAGGTATATAATTTAGGGAGTTCTAAAGTTGAAAAAACTAGCAAGAGCTAGTAAGAGACAAAAACAACAAACCAAAAGTATCAATAAAGCAATATTGCAATTTTAATTGTTATCACATGGCAAAGCTCTTTGTAATCATTTGTGTTTGAAGAAAATATAGTTTTTCTAATATCCTATGGATGAAGTCGCGCGGTAACAGCTAGTCTTACTAATATTATAAATGCAAAAGTTTAGATGGATGTTTGTTAGAGTTTGTAGCCTAAACGGCTGAACGGATTTCTATGAAATTTGGTATAAATGTAGAGGATAGTTTGGAAGAACACATCGGCTACTCACTTTTGTTTTTTTTTTAAATTCTACGCGGACGGAGTCACGGGCGAAAGCTAGTCTATACTAATATAATAAAGCGTAAACACACTTCTTTGTTGCCTAAGATGTCGGCAATCACAGCATATTTTCGAATAACTCTTTTTTTAAAAAAAAGCCCTACACTTACGTCACGCTTTAGGTTATATATTTTCACGCCGTTAAACTTAGGGGTAAATATTTTGGATAAAAACCCTAATGTGGGAAAGAGACCATAAGTTGTTGCCAACATTAAGGAAGCAAGGTTGCCATGGTTTGACATCATGTCACGTCATTTTGACATTTGTAATTGATAACTTGACAAATGTTAACAATAAAATGAATTTTGTATAATTTTAAGCGGATGAAGTCGCATGGGAACAGCTAGTATTAAATAAATGTACAATACATCACTGTTGAGTTTGTATTGACTGTACTTTCAGACACAGACGAGAATAATGTTAGAGAAAATTGTAGCAGCGTCTAATCCTTCTGCAGCCACAGCCTCCCTCGGACAGTCTCTAGCTAATGACAAAAAGTGATTATTTCAATAAATGTAGTATTTTTATATAGAGTAGATTTGAACAGAGATATCACAATATTTTTAATAAAATTGTTGTAAATAAAATGTAGATAAGAAATGAAAATTATTACACCTATGCAAATGGTTGTTATTTTTGTAGTAATCTACCTCAATGTTACATGTAAATATTTTATTGAATTTTTGTAGACTTGTTCGATGTTTTAATTAAAAATATTTAGTAAATGTTTTGTAGACAAGAATTTTTATTTATGAACCTTTGAAATCCAATAAGTTTTATCTATTATTACTAGTGTGGTACTATTATTTTATAATAACTTGTTTAAACTTTATTAATAATGATTACTTGATTATTTTTATTTTTTTTTATTTTATGTTTCATTACATGTTTAATTTAATTTTATTTAATATTAGATTCGTTTTTATTTAATTTTATTATAAAGCAAAGCTGATTATAACATTGTACAGTATGATAGATTATTTTCATCATATTATTCAGAAAAAATGTTAGCCCTGCAAATGTTGGAGTCTAAAGAATGATCTAGGCTAGATCTGGGATAGAGGCAGGTATTAACGTAATCTTATTCAAAATAGTTTTTACACATATTTTTTATTTCTCGACTAGGGAGAGGGTGGGGGGAAGCTAAGCTCACGCCCTCTATCGGCGACAGGTATGCTTTAGACTGGTAGCTGCTGCTCAATTTTTTTATATCTAACGGAGATTTCGACATTATTTTTTTTAATATATTCACGTTTAATTTAAAATTTACAATACAGGAACTCGATGAAGATTTGCAGTCGATGTAATAATTTAAAAGAAAATGGCAGCGAGTGCCTCGTGTGCGCACCCAAAGGTAGCGACATCACTTACACTGATGTCGTAAAGAAAATAACCTCTTATTTATATTGAAAAAATATATTTATTATTCCGAAAACTGTGATCTTAAGTAACAAGTAAATATGTAAAGTAACAAGACAATAAATTATAAGTAACAGTAGTTTTTCCTTTTAATTTGTTTAGAATTGTTATTTAAATTTAATGATAATACTATAACAATACTCGTTTTTAATTAACTAAGTACAATATATTTTTTTTAGTAAATGTTAGTAACATAATTTATGAAAAATAAATAATTTTCGCCCGAAGGTGTGTGGAACCGAATTCATAAACCAGTTATAAAATTCATTATTGTTATTTCGGTTTTTTGAGTACAATTAAAAGGATAACAATGTTTTTGTACAAGTGGAAAACAAATGAATCGTTACGAATACGTTCGAGAATTGACGTAAACATTCGTGATAGACCCTGCAATAGATCTCGGACAATTTTATTTAATTTATTAAATAGTTCCTTAATGTTATAGAAAAAATCGGGCTTATTATACTATTTGTTATAAAAAGAATAAGGACCTGTCCCACCATTGGCTGATAGAGGCTCAAATAGCTTGAAAATCACGTCACTGCCATATAGAGTAACAAAATCCGATATGTCCATGACATTTTTTACATGTTGGGTTGTTATGAATTAACAAGGATTTGGTAGGACTGACTAAATCTAGAATAACTCCTTAACAAAGACGCGATCGTAAACGTGCGGTGGGTCGGGTACTATGAGAGGTTCGCCGGCCATCTTGATGTCTGTATACCGCGCTTTGTAGTAACAGGTAAAGTTATGTCTCTCAGCCGCCCTCGCTGAGAACTCACTAGATGAGTCCAAGCGGGCAAGTCTCACCCCACGTTGTCGTAGTAACTTCCTGAAAATAATCTTAATGTACGGATTATTTCATACATATTTAGTGTAAGATGACATGCAAATAAACGCCTGAAAACGTTAATATCTGTATTTAGAAGGGTTAATGAAAATGACAAAAAAAGGTTTGAAGATGAAGTTAGTTACTCTTTCATCCGATAGGGGCGCTGAACAATTCTCGTACAAATGTCGATGGCGTTAAGAATGGTTTGTGCAAGGGCCACAGATTGTGCATTTAAAATAATATAAACCACAGTTAAAAGTTGAGATTAAATGTATTTTTTATAATATAAGGTGGCAAACGAGTAAGCGGCCACCTGAATCCACCGAAATGGAAAGCGACCGCTGTCCATAAACATCCGCAATTGCAGATGCGTTGCCTACCCTTAATTGACGGAGAAGGAGACGCACATAAATAGGACATTTCCCCTTCGTATGCGTCTCCTTCACCGTCAAATCCACTTTTCCTTCCCATTCTTTCCTCTTAAGAAAAGGGTGGAAAGGCACTTAAATTAGGCCTCAGTCACCACACTCATCAGACGAAATGTGGAATTGCTTCCACTTCACGCCTGTCTTCTGTGTGGT